TAAGTGCTGCCATTTTAAAACCGGTCGTAACCATAATCACTTCTTTCCTCAATCTGTCACCAACAATTCACATACCTTAACATGACTTAAGTAAGAAATTGTAAGTGTGCTAATTTAAGCGTCTGTGTTTTATAAATTCCGAAGTAAGAGTGTTACAATTTAGTTCAATTCATTCAAATTCAAATTATTGAAACATATAAGCCGATTATGATAATTAATTTTTTGTTGATTTATTTGATTAATTATTATTTTTATAATTGTTGTATTACCTAATAAATTTCTCTAGCTCGGAAGAAATACAATTTTTGTGTTATTTGTTTCGAGAAAGTATTGACTCATAAAACATTTTATAGTGATTCCTTATTGTACACAAGTCTTTCGATATTTAAAAAAATTCTAACGAATAAATGTGGTATTAATTTTTGTATGACAACATGTGAGTATGGTGCATGATGTAACTGTACTACTTTTATGGATAATTGTTACAATTAAAAAAATATTCGCTTTGCATGCATAGATAGATACATTTTTTTTAAGTTTAACATTCTAACCTTACATAATGAGACTAATGGTATTTTAAGAATAGAGTAATACAAAAAATGTGTAAATTCAGTGTCCTGTAATTTTAGACAAAAATGTCCTTTCACCATAGTTAAACCCGTATTCCTATTCCATTTTGTAGTCAAATATTTTTTTATCTGAAACACTGTCTTTATCGAAGCTTTATTAATTTGATAACAGAAATCAGTAAGCATTTGTTCGGTAAAAAGATATTTTAAAGTATTTCTCTGCATTAACTTCCATATCGTTCATCGCATCAATTATATATTCGATTCAAATCACTTTGAAGAAGGGCACAATTCAAAACTGACGATATCTGCCGAAATAAAGAGTATCTTTGAAAAATATGCCGAAAGCTAAAGGTCGTTAATAAAGAGATTAAATAATAAAGGCCCACAATGGGTTCCTTGAGAAACACCTGATTTCACAGATATGATGTTTGAAGATGTTTGAAGAGCTTCCAATTCTAACAACCTGGTACCTATTTGATATAGCTCTTAGTTTGTGTACCAAGAATTTGTGGTTAACCCAATCAAAGGCTTTTTGTCAAGTCCCCTCTTTTCCAAAGTATCAATTAAAAAATTTTGATACAAAAGTACATTTGTGGTGGTAGAACGACCTTGACAAAATCAGTGTTAGACAGACAGACATACAGAGACAGACACACACAGAGAGAGAGAGGCAGACAGACAGGTAGACAGACAGACTGAGTCAGACTGAGGCAGACTGAGCAGGATAAGGCACACACAGGCCGAGAGCGACCGGCAGAGGCAGAAACAGAGCAGACAAAGGCAAAACTACGTAGACACTCAGGCAGAAGAGAGGGGCAGAGGCAGACACACAGGAAGCCAGTGGCAAGCACACAGGCAGATCGCGACAGACACAGTGACAGACACCGAAGCAGAAAAACAGGCAGATCGAGGGAGACACAGAGGCAGATCGAGTGATCGAGGCAGACACAGACGCACAGGACGCACAGGCAGATCGGATCGAGGCAGACGCAGAGGACGCACAGATCAGAGCGGACAGCAGGACGGCCGCCCAGCGGGTAAGGCTGCGCCCTGTGGCCTGGCTGGCTGGCAGAGAGAGGCAGACAGGTGAGATATAGAATTGAAATGAGAAGCCATGCAAACACGAAAGATTTAACAAGTATATTTGTATTTTCGTTGTGTAAATAAAACGTTAAGGTTTGTCGGCATTTTGCGGCAAGACCGTTAAAGATTTTGTTTTTAAAAGTAACGATTTGCCCACAGATTGCACTAGAAATATCTTCTTCGTATTTATTTGCCAACTTTGATGCTGCCTCCACCAATTCTTCGTCTGTACTATTCAACATTTCCTGTGGTTCCAGAAAAGAAAAATAGTTTCTGACGTTTTTCATGCTTTCAAACCTATCTTTAATTTGAAGGTTTAAAATATCAAGAGCAAGATAGAAAACGGTTGTTTTAAATTTTTCAGTGGGATCTTTGAAAACGGTATCTTCACATAATTCGTCATGAAACAGTTTTACTTTTTTTATACGTCTATTTGAAAAAGAATTGTTAATTTTCCAGGTATCAGCACATTTCCTTGATTCCTCCATTATTTGTTCAAAATTGTCACGTATAGTTTGAAATTTGTCTTTTAGATGTTCCATCCATTTACAAGCCTCATCTAAAGTAATATTTGAACTCTGTAAAGTTTTTGAGACCAAATTAACATTTTCTAAAATTTTGCATTGAAATACTAATAGAGCAACAAATTCAAATGAATCCATTTTTTTATGAAGAGCTACAGCTTCATCTATTTCACTTTTCTTTTTTGATGTTAAAATAAATTCAGCTCATAACTGTTGAGAGATTATATCTAATGGCAATTAGAGAATCAAATCTCGATGAACATAACTTTTTTAAAGTTTTTATTTATTAAATCATAAAATGCGGAAATTCCTGGTACATTCTTAACAGAATCATTAAGGACTAAATTGAGGTTGTGTGTAGCGCAATGAATATATTCGGCGTAATGATGTTGTTTCAAGTTCTTCAATTTTTTCATATCATTTTCCTGATTTTTTAATTTTCATTTTCTGGATTTTATATCACAATTTTTCGTTTATTCAATTTTTCACATTTTCAATTCCTCGATTTTCCAAATTTCAATACATATTTAGATTTTACAATAATTTTCGTATTTTCGACCGCAATTTTTCGATCTTTAAGTTTCTCAATTTTTAATCTTCCGATTTTTGAATTTTCCGTTTCTTCAATTTCTCAAGTTTTTAGATTTCTCGAAGCTTTCATTTTATACATTTGCGTTTTTTCATTTTGAGTTTTCAATTTTACAATTTTTCTATTTTATAGCTTTTCCATTTTGTTTATTCGGAAAGTAGAAAATTCGAAAAATTAAAAAATTGGAAAAAAATGAAAAAATGGAATTTGTTTTTACGATTTTTTAACTTCGATTTTTTAAATTTTTTAATCTGTATTTCAATTTTTCGATTTTTGGAATTTTCTGTCTCATCTAGTTTTATCGATTTTTTTAGTTTTTCGATTTTTCCGTTTATCTTTTTTTAAGTAAATATTTCGATTTCTCAATCTTTTGAAATCTCAGGTCTTCGATTTCGATTTCTTGGTTTTTCCATTTTCAAAATTTTCGATTTTTCTAGTATATATTCTAAATTTTCGATTTTTAAATTTTCCATTTTTCACTTTTATAATCTTTATGTTTCGATTTCCCGATTTTTATTTTTTAATGTGTTTCAATTTTTCCAGTTTTGGAATTTTCGATTTCTCATATCTCAATTTTTCAATTTTAAAAATTTTTCGATTTCTCGATTTTTAAATTTTTGGATATCTCAATTTTTCAACATCGCAATTTTGGGAATTTTTCAATTTCTTTATTTTTTGGATTTTCGATATTTTCATTTTCCCGATTTTGTAATTTTCATTTTTTTGATTTTATATCACAATTTTTCATTTTTCCATTACCTTTATTCTTTCAATGTTTCTTTGGATTTTATAATTTTTTGATTATTCAATTTTTTACATTTTCAATCTTTGATTTTTTAAGTTCTTGATTTCCATTTTTTTTATTTTTCGAAGCTTTTATTTTGTACTTTTTCAGTTTTACAATTTTTCTAGTTTAAAATTTTTCGATTTTGTTTATTCGAAAAGTTAAAAATTCGAAAAAATGAAAAATTGAAACAATGAAAAACTAAAAACCGAGAAACTTAAAAGTCTAAAAAAAATTAATGAATCGTAGAATGGGAAAGAAGAAAATCCAAAAATTGTAAAATCGAAAAATTAAGTCCAAAAACTGTGACATTGAAACACCGAAAAATTGAAAAATTCCAAAAACGAAAAACTGAAAAAGTGAACAACTTTAAAAAGTATAATTATTAGGAGTGTTACATAATTAAAATGAAAACTGGAAAAACTGCAAATGAAAAATTAAAGAAACGGGAAATTGAAAGACGAAAATTGAAAAAATAAAGAAAATTAAAAACCCACACGAAAAATTACAAACAGAAAAATTGACGAAATTAAAAACTGAAAACTGATAAGTGACTGCAATCAATTTTGTTCCGAAATATAGAGTACAAGAATTTTAGACAATAATGTATCCGCCTAAATTCTAAGGAATCGACATTCAGATTTTCTAATATTTAATAGGTACACTATGACTAAAACCCCTGCCGGGATAAACATCAAATATTGTGAAATATAAAAATTTAAGAAATCTTCTCTGAATGTTTTCCGACCTAATCTTGTAACAAAAAACCATACTGCACTGCAATATTCCAATCTAGACCTAACATAAGAGTAATACAGAGTTGTTAATACTGATGGATTTTTAAAGGTACTGGTGTTCCTGATTATAAATCCCAAACACTTCATTGACACATTTATGATACTGCTTGCATGATCGTTAAAATTAAGGTGGTTATCAAAAGTTATACCAAGATCTTTTATTGTTGAAGTTCTATTAAGTGGAAGAAACCTACAGCTGTACGCAAACAATGTGGGATATTTTTTTCTGGAATGTGGAATATTACATTATTTTGCATTTAGAATAGTTCAAAGGGAGTTTATTTACCTCAGACCAAGCATGTACTTCATTGACATTGTTCTGCAAATGACGACAATCTTCCTGTGTATAGATCCTTTTTGGAACGTACTGTATATAATAATTAATAAAGCTAAAGTGACCTAAACCAATACGAGTTTAAAAACCTAAAATTTTTAAATCTGCAACCAACATTACACTAAAAATTATGATTCTTCGTTATAATTTATTTTATTTTAACAGACAGATTTCGCGACTTTTTTAAACTACTTTAATTTAATAAGTAGTTACTATTAATTATTATATTCATCAAAAATATGACCGCAGCGGCACCAATCTCCCCATTCTCGCCCAAAAATCCCTATCCCGACTGACGTAACCATAGCCGCAGCCACGTAATCGCCGCACCGTTCCATTAGCCACCGACGAAACGAAATGTCTTGTTGTGATTAACATTTTGTGGTTATATTTACACCAGTTACATTAGTTTGTTAAGCGTAATACGTATTAAAGTGATAAATGGCAGGTTTTACCGAAACAGCATTCGCTAAAAAATTATCCGATTTAAACAATTCCTCGCAAAGCATTCAAACTTTATCTTTTTGGTTAATACATCACAGAAAACATTACACCACAGTGGTGAAACTATGGAGCAAGGAGCTGCTAAAAGGTAAGACCTGCCCACGCACGCCCCCCACGCACTAACAATCGCCCCCTTGTAGCGAAAGACAGCAAGAAACTCACCTTCATGTATCTCGCAAACGATGTAATACAGAATAGTAGGAAAAAGGGCCCCGAATATGGACAGGAGTTCGGCGTGCATTTGAAGAAGGCGTTCGAGCACATGTCGGAAGCGGAGGAGAAGACGATAAACAGCTTGGAGAGGCTGTTGTCGATTTGGAGCGAAAGGGGAATTTATACTGAATCTCAGATCGCAGACTACAGAAACGCGTTACGTACGTGGGGTACTTAGTCAGTGTGGCGTTATGTAATAGGATACTTTGTAGGGAAAGAAGGGCCTCCAACTAAAAAACAAAAATCAAGTGATAAGGTTTCTTCCAAAGAAAAGAAAAAGTCGGAGAATGAAGTCACTGTTGAGGTATAGGGGTGACTCTGGTGTTAACTAGTTGTAAGATTTGCTTGATAGGTGGACGGGATGGTGGAAACGCATGTGCACTTGAGCCCCCACACGCCCGCGGGGGACCCACCGGAGCCCGAAGAACTGATTAAAGCTATCCAAGACTTAGAAAACAATATCGCTTCTGCTGATGAGGGGGTTCGTCAGAGGATTGCACAATTGCCAACTTCCGTTACCGAAATTTCAACAATAGCGAATATACAAGGTAAGTTGGGTGGAACGAGGTTCCAATTAATCCTGTGAGTGTTTTTGTATATTTGTTTTTTGATTGAGATAAAGCTGGTTTAAGAAAGCACCTCATAATAAATTCATTGTGTCTGTAGTGTTATCAGGATGTGTTACACAATTTTAACAAAAAAATTGATATGTTGTTTGTAGTATCTTTGTGGACGTCATGGATGAGTCACTGGTTTTATTGATTGTCAATTCTACAGTTCTTTATTTTATGTGCATTTTAAGTTTTTTAGTGAGTTTGTCGTGAATTTTAATGGACAGAGTTGTGTGTGATGTACAGACATTTCGCGTTAGGTACAGTGAGAAGCTAAAGACGGCCTTCCAGGATAAAATAACTTTTTTGGTGTGATATCATGGCTTGGCTTTAATTTTTTTATGTAAATTGGCAAAATAGTCAGTTTTGTTGCTGTTTTGGCACGTTTAAATTCTAATTTATTTCGTGGACTGGTTCAGTTTTGCCAATTTATAACTTACAAAAATGTACCATTTATAAACATTTGTATTATGTATTTTAATAAAATATTACCATTAGTTCACTACTTTTTGGCATGCAGTTGAGGTTATAATTGTGATTTGTTTTAATTTTTTCTGATGTTGTGTTAATTAATTTTATTCCCCTTTTAAAAACTGTAACATCTTTGTCTTTATTTCTTTCTCAGTGTTTCAGGTTTGTGTCAAAATAAATACTAATTTCGTTGTCCTAATTACTGGAAAAATAATTATCAAGTTACATTTTCAATCAGTGTATAGAGTGTCACAAGGGTATGGAACCAAATCAGTACTGCCAATCCAGGAATGTGGAAACAGTCTTTTGACCCACACTTGTTAATTTATGTAGATTAAAACTTCGTTTCTTATTTTTCTTAGTGTATATAAAACTTGTCACATTTTGCGAAAAACACTTCATTTTTCCCTCATATTCCGTTTGAATTTTCTTGTTTGAAGCTAAAACCAACTCATTTCGTTAAAAAAAATACCCTCCTATTCAATATATAATCATCGACATTTTAATTACATGGGCTTTAGTTCGTCTCAAAAATTTTCTGTGATGTAGAATAAACTAATTAAAACTGAAATCGTCTAGAATGTCGACTTTTTTTTCACTTTTTATTTCCCGAAGGAAACGCTTCCTAATAATAGTCCGGTGAATGTTTTCTCGACGTTTCATAACCTCTAGAATAGCGAAAAGTAGGTCCGCGTTGCCATTGTCTATCATTGTCGATATAATTTTATAAAATAAGATACTCCTGCATTTGTAGTTTATGAATCCGTGTTAAATTTTTACCCACGAATAATATAAGGAAAATGCTACGTCTTACTGATATTTAAAAGTGGCGTAGTCGGTCGGATAACTCCCTATACAAAAAATTTTTAAACAAAATTCACATTTTTTCAGACAAAGAGCAAGCGGAGAAATTGAGCCAACAAGTAAACGAAGCTGTGACTTTATTGAACGAGTACAACAGTAGATTAGCGTCGGAGATGGAACACCGCAAAAAAGTTTCCTCCATGATCAGGGATTTCCTTCAGGTGCAACAAGAACTCCTAGCTCAAGCTGAACAAAACTTAGAGGTAAAAACACCCCCAAAATCGCGCTTATTTAACAAACCCTCGTTTTAGGAGTATCAAGATAAACTAATTAAGGTGTACAACGTGCGAAACGAACTGAAATCTCACATCCAGAATCTACCCGACCTGACCCAGCTGCCAAACGTCACAGACGGCTTAGCACCATTGCCATCAGCAGAACATTTATTTATGCCTTAAATTAAGCTGTGATTACTTTAAATCTCAACCAACCACAGCATTCGAGCACTTTGTAAACGGATTTGTTTGATAAGTGTTGACTGGATTTAGCTGAATTTTCCTTAGTGATACTGTAATATCGTTTCAATTTTACATATTTATTCGAGCACAGGGTGCTATAGTTGTAGGTAATGTTGTATGGACGGAATCTGGAACTAAGATGTAGTCCTTTTTTAAATAAAGCGATTATTTCAGCGTGCAGAAGTGACATCGTGTTTGTAATTTTTAAGTTTGACCCAATTTTTGTTTGTGTTTTGCTGTTCAACTAGTAGTGCTAGTCCTGAGAAAATACGCTTTTTCTTGAGGTATTTTTTAGTTGTGTTGGAAAGTTGATCCTTGGATTCTGATATATAGTTTAACGATTTAGTTGTATTATTGGTAGTTTAAACCGGTAGTGTTTAATGCAATAAAAGATGATGTCAGATTTGAGTTGGTTTTATTTTCTCTAGTTTAGTTTAAGATGATTTCGTATGGTGAGAGAAAATTCTGCTTAATTGTGTCCAGAATTTCATTTTTTATAAAACTTCTGAAACACAAAAAAATACGAAGTTTAATTAATATAATCTGATGTTCTTACTTTGCAATGACGGAGATTCCTGTTACGTGAAAATCAAGCGTCGGTAATTCTAAAAAATGTATCCAGAAAATTTTTTGTTTAATCGTTGAAGGAAAGATAATTCTTAAGTTTCCATAAAGCTCTATATTTTTAATTGTAGTAGAAATGAACCAAGTTTCAAGTTGGCAGTAACCGTTTCCACTAAACCTAGAACACACACAATAATCGTACGCAGTTTGTAGCAGCCAGAATTACACTCACCGAATTGTTAAATCCACCATCGAAATTTTTTGTACGGCTGTGACATTTATATTTTCTATGCTAAAAGGCTTTTCTTTTTAAATGATGTAAGTGTTTTTTTATTATTATTATATACCTTATTTCCTACCTGAAAATCAACTAATTGAACTGAACTTGGAATATGCGGTGCCAAATTAGTGGTTATCCACGATTCTATATTTCTTCGGTCGCTAGTCCAAATATTTTCAATAATCTGTGGAATTATATAGTATAAACAATAAATAAAGCATTTATTCGAAAATTCCGTACTTTGTTCAACCAGAAAATATTGTCTACTGGCTTACAGATAGGCGAATCTGTGACGCTTTTTGTCTTCTTTTTACTTGTTTTTGTTGTATTTTTGATTTTTAAACCAACAGTATAAATTCCAATTATAACTATTTGCAGCACTAGTAAAAATAACCTACGTTCGTAAAGCCAGTTTTTACATAAAATTTTGTACTACGAAAAAACAATAAATAAATAGAATTTTAGTTATATTTAACTACTTACATCATTCATCGCACTGGATGCGAAAGACTCAATTGAATACATTTTTAATTTCTATAAATTTCTATAAATAAATGTCTGCTGAAAGTTTGAGGAAATCAGACTATTTCATTATTGAATATTTTATCAATGTTGATAACAAATTTGTGGAAAAACCAAGCGAGAGTGAAATAGTTTTATAAGATAAAAAGATAAAACACACACATTTCGCGCTTTAGTTTTGGCAGTTGCACCGAAAGGGGGCGGCACTTACAAAATCGTTTTATAAAATATTTAATTTTTAGTAATAAATATGCAAGCAAATTTGTTAACTCTATTTAAGATATTAATTGTAACTAACTGAATAAGGTTAAAGTACACCTCGATATGTCACTTACTAAGTAGAGAGGTAAAAATGGTATTTAATTTAAATATATTGTGATAACCCAAACATCCCGCCATAGTTTGACATGTGAACAAAATTTTAAAACCCGACATGTTTTAAGTTTCTTTTTGTCGAAATAAGTCTACACATATTAAGAAAAAGAGGCAAAATGTAGCCCCGCCCACCCACCCTGTCTCAATCGTGATGATTTTTTTATTCGTCGTGAGTCAAGAGGGCGGAGCTTAACTGCAAAATAATTATTTCTCAAGGACAATTAAAAACATGTTTTTGAGTATCGTGTTCAAAGAATACTATGTATATTAAGAAAAAAATTAAAGCCAAAGAATAAGCCCCACCCATACCTGGTCTGATCTAAACAGTAATGAAGTTTTCATTCGTTGTCAGACCTAGGGGCGGAGCCTAATTGCAAAATCCATATTTCCTTGCAAAAATGTATGGCCATGCATATTTAAAAAAAAAGGCAAAATATAAACCCCGCCCACCCGCCCTATCTCAATTCTGATGATTTTTTTTATTCGTCGTACGCCGACGGGCGGAGCTTAATTGTAAAATCCTTATTTTTTACGAGAAATTACCATGTGAAATATGTTCTTAAGTACTTAGTTCTACAAAGAAAACTAAGTGTAGGTATTAATTAAAAAAGAAAACCAAAAGGGAAGCTCCACCCATCAGCCTCAATCTCAATCGTGATGAAATATTTCATTCGTTGTCAGACCGAGGGGCGGAGCGTAATTGCAAAATCGATATTTCCCTATACAAATTTACAATTTTAAATTTCTTGTTGTGCAAAATCACGACACATGTTAAGAAAAAAAGGCAAAATGGTGCCCCGCCCACCCACCCTGTCTCAAATGTGATGATTTTTACTTCCCGAGCGTAAGCAAAGGAAGTATTGTAATCGAGTCCGTCGGCCGACTCTCTACTTTTACGTTTTCTCGATCTTTCATGACCCCTAGAAGACGAAGAAATAGGTCTCACATTTCCGTCTGTCTGTCCGTCTGTCCGTCCGTCTGTCCGTCCGTCTGTCCGTCTGTCCATCTGTCCGTCTGTTGTCCCGGATTTTTATTAGACAGATAATCTCCGAAAGTACTCGACCGATTGTTGTGAAATTTTGTACTTATATTAAGAATATCATGTAGATGGTAAAACGCTAACCAAAATTTGTCTAATCATCCCCACCACTAATGCGATGACGTCACTTCAAAATTGTACATAGTAAATGGGTTTTCAATTGTATAAAATAACATAGTCCTACACATGTAGTTTACAACTCTGAATCGACTTTTCACCCGAAACGTCCAGATTTTTGGAAAAAAAATCAAAATTATAAAACAATATTTTGAAATTTAATTTTTAATCTGCTAACCAGAATGCTTTGAAATGTTGCAGATGTTTTAAGGCTATAAAGAGCATCATAAATCTTTAGTCAAAAAATATTTGCTTATCCCCTCCAAAAACTTGATGACGTCAGCTCAAAAGTTTGTGGAATAAATCATATCTAAAATGTACAAAATATGATGAGTCTGTACTTGTGATCTATCACTCCATTCATATTTTTTGGATTTGCATATACAGGGTGACTCAAAAAAATTAATGAATGCGTAAATATATTTTATTGATTTAATCAGGAACTACAAAACTGAATGCTCTGAAATCTTGCAGATGTTTTAAGGTCATAAAGAGCATAATAAATGTTTAGTCAAAATATATTTGCTTATCCCCTCCAAAAACTTGATGACGTCAGCTCGAAAGTTTGCCGAATAAATCATATCTAAAATGTACAAAATATGATCAGTCTGTACTTGTGATCTATCACTCCATTCATATTTTTTGGATTTGCATATACAGGGTGATTCAAGAAAATAAATGAAAGCGTAAATTTATTTTACTGATTTACTCAGGAACTACAAAACGGAATGCTCTGACATCTTGCACATGTTTTAAGGTTATAAAGAGCATAATAAATGTTTAGTCAAAATATATTTGCTTATCCCCTCCAAAAACTTGATGACGTCAGCTCGAAAATTTGCCGAATAAATCATATCTAAAATGTACAAAATATGATCAGTCTGTACTTGTGATCTATCACTCCATTCATATTTTTTGGATTTGCATATACAGGGTGATTCAAGAAAATAAATGAAAGCGTAAATTTATTTTACTGATTTACTCAGGAACTACAAAACCGAATGCTTCGAAATCTTGAAGATATTTTAAAATTATCATAAGCATGGTAAATTTTTGATCAAAACGTATTTGGTCGTCCCCCCTAAAAAATTTATGACGTCACCACAAAATTTTGCTGAATAAATCCTATCTAAAATGTACAAAATATGGTGAGTCTCTTCTTGTGATTTATCATTCTATTCAAATTTTTTCGATTTGCATACACAGGGTGACTCAAAAAAATTAATGAATGCGTAAATTTATTTTATTGACTTAATCAGGAACTACAAAACCGAATGCTTTGAAATCTTGCAGATGTTTTAAGGTTATAAAGAGCATAATAAATTTTTAGTCAAAATATGTTTGGTTATCTTCTACAAAAAACTGATGACGTCAGCTCAAAAGTTTGCCGAGTAAATCGTATCTAAAATGTACAAAATATGATGAGTCTGTACTTGTGATTTATCATTCCATTCATATTTTTGGATTTGCATATGCAGGGTGACTCAAAAAAATTAATGAAGGCGTGAATTTATTTTATCGATTTAATCAGGAATTACAAAACCGAATGCTTTGAAATCTTGGGAATATTTTAAAGTTATTATAAGCATGGTAAACTTTTGTTCAAAATGTATTTGTTCATCCCTCCTAAAAAAATTGATGACGTCACCCTTAAATTTTGCTGAATAAATCGTATCTAAAATGCAAAAAATATGATGAGTTTGTACTTGTGATTTATCATTCCATTCATATTTTTTAGATTTTCTTAAGAGGTGGTTTAAAAAAATTAATGAAGTCAATTTATTTTATTGATTAAATTAAAGGCAACACTTATTATTAGTATTACACCCCAACCAACCCAATTTGGTAGACACAAAATTGGTTAAAGGAAAAACTCGGTTGAAACATAAGGGTAGCACGCTTATTTACATCGACTTTAACATTACAGACCTGCATTTGTTTTATGCGCTCACTTGGTTCCGCGAATATGAAATAGACATGTTTATAATCAACCAATTGTGAATTTCACCGTCAAGAATTAAAATAAAACCCAATGTTTTATATATTAAGCGGAAGTCGAAGCAATAAAACCGATGGTCGTTTTGTTTACAGTTTCTCTGTTTGACTCTCACGTATGCTGTTACGCCTGTCATCTTAAATTAAGAATGTTTATACATACACGATTTTCAGTTGCCTCTGATACGTATACGTGAGTAAATTGTTTCGTTATTTTATTGATTATTACAAATCAATATTCAAAACGACCCAATTCATTTTCCCGAAAATTTGAGAATATAATAATTTTATTCTTAGTATTACACTACATCTATCCCAACTGATATACGTGTCCTTGCAAAAATGTTGATGACGTCATCGCAATTTTTTTTTAAATTCCCACTACAAAAATGTAATGAGAAAAAAAACACAATAGGCATGCAGTCGTCAAGTTTCCGACAGCGAGGGAAGTACTGTCTAAACTCTTTAGACCAATTTTTTTTATTGGTCGTGAGCCAAGAGGGCGGAGCTTAACTGCAAAATCCGTATTTCTCTAGGAAAAATTAAAAACATGTTTTTGAATATCTTGTTGTTCAAAGAATACTACGTATATTAAGAAAAAATTAAAGCCAAAGATTAAGCCCCACCCATACCTGGTCTGATTTAAATAGTAAGGAAGTTTTCATTCGTTGCCAGACCTAGGGGCGGAGCATAATAGCAAAATCCATATTCGCTAAAAAAAATATAATTTTAAACATATTTTAAGTTTCTATGAATAAAAAAATCATCACAATTGAGATGGGGGGGTGGGTGGGGTTTATATTTTCCCCTTTTTTTCTTAATATACCTAGTAACTTCTTGTAAAGAAATAAGTATTTTGCAGTTAAGCTCCGCCCCCTTAGTACATGGCGAATAAAAAAAATCACCACAATTGAGATAGGGCGGGTGGGCGGGCTTACATTTTGTTTTTTGTTTTAATATGTGTAGACTTTTTTTCATAACATGAAACTTAAAACATATTTAAAATGGAAAATGTGTATGAAAAAATTTCAATTTTGCCATTAGGCGCCGACCCATAATTGCAAAATCCATATTTCCTTGCAAAAATGTACCATTTTAACCATGTTCTAAGTGTCTTGTTGTGAAAAGATGGCCATGGATATTAAAAAAAAAAGGCAAAACATAAACCCCGCCCACCCACCCTCTCTCGATTCTGATTATTTTTTTTTATTGGTCGTAAGCCGAGAGGTGGAGCTTAATTGTAAAATCCCTATTTTTCTACAAGAAATTAGCATGCGAAATATGTTTTTAAGTAATCGTGTTATGCACAGAAAACTAAATGTATGAATTAAAAAGGAAAACCAAAAGAGAAGCCCCACCCATCCGTCTCGATCTCAGTCGTGATGAAAATTTTCATTCGTTATCAGACCGAGGGGTGGAGCGTAATTGCAAAATCGATATTTCCGTAGACAAATTTACCATTTTAAACATATTTTAAGTTTCTTGTTGTAAAAAAATCGAAACACATATTAAGAAAAAAGGCAGAATGGTGCCCCGCCCACCCGCCCTATCGCAATTGTGATGATTTTTTTTTATTCGTTGTGACCCAAGGA